AAGAATCTCATTAAATATTTTTAATTAACAAAAATGCTTTTAGAAAAATATATATTAATATCAAATCTAAATATTTTATATAACATTTGAAAATATAGTAAACGTCTATAAAAATAAAATTCACAAAAAATATAATTAATTATTTCTATGACTTTCTCTACCCCTGCGATGAATACTAACTAATCATTGAGAAGACATCCTCTACTCTGACAGACCTGACCGGCGATACGGATCCCAAAATCGACCGCTTCTTCAATGCTATGACCGCAGACCAGATGCGCGACAACACCGCCGACAAAGGCATCGCCGGCGCCTATAGTGTCGCCTTTGATCTCAATCTTAGGCACCGAGTGCTCACTGACTACCACCTCATCGTTTGACAAATACTTGGCGACAATCACTGAATCCGAGCCCTGAGTTATAAAAACGCATCGCTTTATATCAGTCCACAAGTGATCCGTTTGTTTAGACTTTTCGATTTTGGCAATAGTTTTGGCAATGAGTGACATATCAGATGTCTTGGTGCCGGTGAGGTGGGTGTGAAAGGCCTGGGCCTCCGAGTTGTTGGCGAATATGGCGTCCGTGTATGGCATCAAATGCATTAATTCCTCGAAGTGTTGGCTCACGACATACGTGGCCGACAGCGAGAGGAAGAAGTTTTTGTTCAGTTGTTGACTGATTTTGGCCAAAGAGAGCACAGTTATGGGGGAGTGGGTCACGAAATAGCCCTCAACGAAATGTATGATTGATTTGTCGAGTGCTTTGCGTACGAGACTCGAGTCGAGGAACTCCTGCGGCATCGCCTGCGAAGCCCCGATGTTTGCCATTAGCGTGCGATTGGTGTCCGATGTGACCATTCCTGCCGACACACCCGTGTTGAGCGTCGGGTGATAGTGGTATAGAGTGCGCACCTTTGCCTCCCTAACCGAGCGCTCCAGTATTTTACCCGTTTTGTCGTTTCCGATACTTCCCACGAAATATACCGATTCGGCACCGGTTTTAGGGCTCAATATTTGTTGTGCTATACGGGATGAGTTTTGGGCCGAACCTCCTATTCATTCAATTTGAAATACTTTTTATAAATTAGTTTAGTTTGGAAAATATTACCTGGAGTTGTAACGACATCGGGCATAGCCAGCAGTTTGTCAAATATGGGTAACTGGTAGTCCTCGGCCTCGCAGTTGTCGTCAACTTTTAAATTATACTTTTCTAATAACTTTTGGTCACATTTTGCCGATATATCCAACAATGCGTTTCCCATGAATAATATACTCTTACTGTGGGAAAAATAACACAACAAATATAAGGGAAAAATAAAATTTCGTCGACTTTTCAAAATTTCATATAAAAGTATATATTTTGAACTAACTTTTGCTTCTCATTCATCTTTTTCTCAGTTTAATTGAACGGAATGTTTATTTTGATTCCTAAACCCAAACATCAACTTCACATCAAAACGAGAATATATTCTTTAAACTGATTATGTTTTCAGTGAGAGAAATACATCTATAATAACGTCTATTACAATGAGTTGTCGATTAAAATAGTCGAAAATCTTTTTCATATCATGGTATTAGTGTTTGGGAATGTAATTGCATTGATAACAATCGGTTGAGTAGTTTTTTGTCGTTTCGAAAACACATTTACAGCGAAATCTAGTTAATAGAAAAGTTTGCGATAAAGTGTATTTTTAAAGTATTAAAAGTGGTTACAAAAATAGTTTTGTATAAAATCTGATAAAATCTAAAAATTAAGAAAATATTAAAGAAAAATTATCATAAAAAAGCTAAACCACAGCATAAGCTTCGTGTAAATGGTGACAAAAATAAATTGTGCGCTAAGTTTAGTAGTTTAGTAGTAGTTGTGACACAAACCTCACTGAATATCTAAATATATGCCAAAAGAGCACTTCTTCTCTGATAACAACACAAACTTATTGTATGTAAAGATATGTTGTATTAATCGCTTCTCTACTCTACTCTACCCTCAAGTTTGTCTTCAGATTAAAACCACTAAACTGTTTGTGAAATTGCAATTACAGTACACTTTTGCCTCATATTTTGTGTGCTATTAATATATTTGAATAGAGGATAGGAAATAAAGGAATCATATTATTCTTTAAGAGTAATTTAAAACCAAACATTTCATTTAACATTGATTATAAATAATTATAATTAATTTTAGGTTAAATAATTCAATACGTTTAATGCAAAAACAAACTAGTATATGTTATTTTATTGTGTTTATTGTGTTATAATATTATAAATTTATCAATATAATCATATATACCGTATAAAAGTAAATATTACAAATACAAAAATACTTACCGACATTACATTGATTTAAGGTTAAACCGTAAATTGCAGTAATTGTAAATACAGTATTACATTTCATATAATAACAAAATAGTAAAATAAAATTTTTGTTTTCATTTCAAAGTTTCTACGTATACCTGAACAGGTATAATTTACCTGGAGAATAGTTAATACAGTAAATACGGCTGACATATGAAACCAAAAACTGATACTTATATTTGAATGGCAAGAATTTATTAAAAATACTAGATTATTCTGTAGTATACTAGATTATACTAGATTATACCATATTTTTACAAATTATTTAAAGGTCTCAGCTTAAAGTCGGCCACAAGTCGTGAATAGTTTCCTAATTATATAAAATTAATTATTATTTTTTAAATTTGTGATTAAAACACAATATGATACCTGTTGATGCTGATTCAAATCTTTTTGAAAGCTCAAAATTGTTATCGATTTGATATTCATTGTCCAAAACCAAGTGTACGGATACCGATTCATTACCTTTGGCCCAATTGTAATCAATGTCTTGATAACTATAGCCATCTTTTTAAACATACAATAAAATAATTATAATATACAGTAATTATCTATAAAATTGCATACATGACTCTATTAGCACTGGACAATTGACTGGACCATTTTTAGCAGCCGTACACTCAAGAGTAACGATAAGTCTAAAATAAGTACATATTAAAAGTTTTATTAATTACACGATTGATAATAAATAATAGACCTTTCACTATAAAGAATATCTCCATTGGTTAGTATTCTGGTCAATACATTAGGTGCTGGGTATTTAAATATCTCAACCGAATTAGAGTTTGGGAAAAATGTGTCGGGAATCCAAAGCCTGTCCACCAATGACTTTCCGCCCAACACTTTGGTTGCATTTTCCATTTGGTTTTGTAGACGGGGGTCATTCCAGTGCTGACGGAAATACATGTGGACTGTCATCTCCTGGCATTTTTAATTCATATGGATCAGTTATTTAAATTAATAATTTATATAATTTTTTATTACACTACGGTACACAAACCTTTGTCATAGCATAGTATTTGTAGTCAATTACATGAAATGTAATTCCAACATTTACTGTTTTATTTTCTGTTAAAATTAATAAATTTATAATTTTTATAACAAATTAAACTTCAGTACAGATTACCCCCTAAATGGGGTCGAATATCCTTATCGTAGACTTCGGGATTTGTTATGGATTTAAAGTTTTTCACTGCAATCACTTCTGGACTGAAATAAATAAATATTATTTTGCATATTATATTATATTCTTATGATTTATTCAATTAATTACTTTTCAGAGTATATTTGTTTCATAAAAAGGACCAAAACAGAACTTAATACAATTAAAACCTTCATTTTGCAGTATTAAATAATTATAATTTGCAATTAATAGAAATATAAGATAAATGATTATTTTTGAAACAAATTCTAAGGAACTATAAATTTAAATTAAAAATATAACAACCAATTTCATAGCCAATGTGCAATAGTGGTATGATTGAGGTCCTAAACAATGTGACCATTTATAAAATCATAAACAATTTTATATCTTAATATGATTAGAATATTGATAGGATTTGTTTATTTATTATTTGTGGCAAACTACTATCAAACTTTATCAAACAACTCGTGTTAATTATAAATTTTATATATTAACTAGTATTTTGTCTAAATCTAATTTGTTTTTAATTAATTTTATCTCATGGCACTAATAATTCTAAAAAAATACTAGTTATTACTAAAAATCATTTAATTCATTGTAATTCTAAAAATATGAATTATATTAAAATACTAATAATTAATAAGTCTTTTAATAAATTTCTTATATTTTATTTCACAAAACTTGATACATTATATTAATACAAAAAACTAAAAATATATTCATTTTGAGTTTAAACTTAACTTTTAAGTTTAAATTTACAAAAGTTGTACACAAATAAAAGGATATTATTAAATATGATATTATATTTAAATTAATTTATATTAACTTAAATATTATATCCTTCAATATGGGGAAAAAATTTAATATGATTGAAATATTTTGACAAAATCACTTATTATTATGTCGACAAATCTCTCAAAAGTATAAATTAGTTCTAATAAAAATATTTTGAAGATTAGTTTAGTTGTAAATTAAATTGATTAAAATTCTTACATCCATTTAATATTATCCATAATGTATTAACATAATAATCAATTAAATTTTATAAAAAAAAGTTTATAATGATAATGGTGTGGTGTCCA